ATGGCGTAAACGTACAGGTACGAGGGCAGCCCTTGCTCGAACAAGTGCAACCCAAAAGCCCGAAGACACAGCCGAAGCAAAGACAGCTGACGCTGAGCACCCAAGCGTCACAGAAATCCACGCCAGGAAGGCTTGGAGACTCTTCTTCATTTTGCGGGCTGCGCTTTTAGCGAAACCTGCTTCAAGATCCAGGGCCACGCGGGATCCTCTTTGGAGGACCTGGATTCCTCTCTATGTCGCCTGCTAGCAACAAGAGGAATCGGATCCATCTGGCAGCAATCTTCGGAACTCTTGCAGACAGGGCAACTTTCTCGAACCTGTCGGCGCGCCCATGAAGAAGCTCGTCAGCCAGCGGGGAGTCCGGCGTCTGGGCCCAGCAACTGGCGGCCCCGGCTGGGATCGCCTGCCACATTGTCCTCGGAGTAACAACGCAGGAGGCTGTCGTAAAACCCCGACCCCAAAACCTACCCAAAGGAACCCTGTAGAATGCGACTTACTGCCGTGGCCCCTATTGTAACCCGTGAGTCCAACAGCACAGTGGCTCGAACAGACATAGATCGTCGAGCAACACTCTTAACCCAGGCAATCAGCAAGAGGCAAGTCTGCACGCGGCTGACACACCGGCTTTGCGTCTGTCAATACAGTTCCCACCTCCGAAGCCTGGGCTCCCCTGTCAGTCAAGATGTTGTTTAGACAAGCAGCTCAACTTAAATTTCAAGGTAAAAATGCTTCATATTACAGAGAAGAGGTCATGTTCTTCAAGGTTTCAGTTTCAATCAGAAACATGGACGGGATGTCTGCTGACTTAACAAAAATTTTACGTCGATTAGCAACATAGAAGCGCGTTAGCCTTACTAACTAGCCCACCACCAACCCCAGGTTCTCCTCCCAAGGTTTCCCGGTGGAAATTTGTTTAGCTAGCATACGCTAGCTAGTAAAGAAACTCAAGCACAGTTCACTTGCGTTAGCACTTTAGCTTGCTACCAAACACTTGTCGTGTTTTCCCAACAACGGCAAAGCCCTAGCTAAAAACGCTCCGTTCCTTTTAGCTTGGTGGCGAAAGTCCGCTCACTGTAACTACGGAGTGAAGCCTCTAGCAACCCGCTAGCCATCAACTCCTTGTAGCCTGAGAGAAGTCTCTAGCTTTCAGCTAGCCATCTACCACGCGTAGCCACAGAGGGCTACCAGGGCTTTAGCTTGCGGAGCTTCTCGGACTTGCTGACCTTC